GGCATCGTGGAGCGACAGCCGGAGAGGGGAGATGGAGGAGGAGGGAGTGGTGGCATGGGACGTGTACAGGTGGGTGTATGTATGGGTGCTGTTACATGCTCCGCTCCTCGCCTCACTGCCGAGTTGACTTTTGAGTCGACTCAAAAGTCAACTCGGAGGGAGTGGTGGCATGGGACGTGTATAGGTGGGTGGGTGTATGTATGGGTGCTGTTACATGCTCCGCTCCTCGCCTCACTGCCTCTCTCCTTCTCCTCCACCGCCCTCTGGCGCGGCAGGCTCCCCAAGTTCAGACGCCCTGGCCCATCTCTTGCTCATACTCACTGTCTATCTGTGCTCGTTCCGCCTCTCCTCACCACTCTCCATCCCTCTACACCCCCCCCACCTCCCGCCACTCTCAAACCCCCTATCCCCCCCTCTCAGGCGTCTGCTCGCCTGTCATCCCAGGGGCATGTATCAGCTCAGCCCGGACGTGCCCCTCCTTGTCTCCTGTCCTCTCTGCCTCACTCTCTCACACACACACCGCCCATGTGCCTCTCTTCCTTTTAACACCCCCCCTCTCCTTCCCCTCCAGGCGCCTGCTCGCCCGGCAACCCAGGGGCATGTATCAGCTCAGCCTAGAAGCCCCTGTCCTCACCTCCTTACCTCTCTCCTAATCATCTTAATCTGTTCGTCCCACCCTCTCCACCCCTCTCCACCCCTCTCCACCCCTCTCCACCTCTCCCTACTCCAGGCGTCTGCTCGCCCGGCAACCCAGGGGCATGTATCAGCTCAGCCTGGAAGCCCCTGTCCTCGCCTCCTTACCTCTCTCCTTCTCCTCCACGCCCCTCTGGCGCGGCAAGCACCCCAAGTCTATGCTTCTGGAGCTCTGCACCATGCAGCGCGCCATCGACTCCTCGCCGATGTGCATGGGCATGTGCGGCTTCAAGACTGAGCATCAGCAGCAGCAGGAGCAGGAGCAGCAGCAAGGGAAGGATGGGCGGCAGGATGAGGAGCAGAAGGATGAGGACCGGGAGAAGGCACAGGAGGAGCAGGAGGGGCAACGTGGGCAGTGCTGCTGCGAGCACAAGTCCATGCAGCTGGCAGTTGGAGACCCTGTGTTTGAGTTCCCATCCCCTTCAGGCTCCCTCATTCCCACAACCACAGCCACCACGACAGGCACAGGCATAGGCACAGGCCAAGGCTCTGGTGGTGCGAGTGGTGGCACCAGCAGCAGCAATACCACTAATGGCAACGGCACAGCTGTCAACAGTGGTGGGTTCAAATGCCGGGTGACCATCAACAGAGGCCCTTCCTCTCCTCCCTGGGTTGCTTTCTCCCCCCGCCGCTATGCTGCACGCATGGATGCAGTGCATGCTGCGTGCTTAGAGGCCTTGAGGGCGATTCAGAAGGAGTATGCGGAAGTGTGGGGGAGAGTGGTTGATCCCTGGGGGGCATGGGGGGGAGAGGGGCAAAGGGAGGAAGGAGAGGAAGGGGAGGACGGGGAACGAATGGAGATTTGTACAGGAGACGGAAATGGGGGGTATGGAGAGGAGAGGGAGGAGAAGGAAAGGGAGGAGGAGAAGAGGGAAGAGGAGGAGGATGGGGATGGCAGAATGGCAAGGAAGCGTGTGAAGGAGGTTGAAGATTCCTCCCCAACACGAGCACCCACCAGTGCAGTGCCAATGCTTGGCAGTACTGATGCCGTGGCAGCGCTAGGGTCTTCTCCACGCCCATCTCCCTCTTCCTCCTCCACACCTGCTGCCTTGGGCTGCCTTGTATCCATCTCCTATAGGGTATCTCTGCAACAGGGCGCAAAATTGCCTCACGGTTGCTCAGAAGAAGTCTGCTCGGAGGGCAAGGAGGAGGTGTGCTTGGAGAGCAAGGAGTGCTTCGAGTTTGAGTTTGGGCGGGGCTGTGTGGACGAGCGGATCGAGGCTGTGATTGGCCGCTTGCTGCCAGGTCAGACTGCTGACATCAGAGTTCCGATCCGCGGGCATCTGCCGCCCTTCCCGGCTCTGGAGGCGATTCAGCCTGCGACAGGTGAGGCAACGGTAGAATTGGGGTGGTGGTGATGGGGGTGGTGGTGATGGGGGTGGTGTGTGCTTATGAGACTGTCCCAATCCCATGTTCAGGCTCGTTATCACAGTGCATGCATGCAATGCAAGATCACCTCCCGCTGTTTTCAGGGATCCCATTGGGGCCGATGTCTTCTCGCCTGCATGCTCCTCCCGTTTTCCCATGCGGCCATACACCATGCCCGAATGCCCCATGCCCTATGCCTTATGCACCCTCTCATCCCAGGGCCCTCGGCCCTCCACTGCCGCATCCCGCTCCTCTCAGTGGCAGCAGCGGAGGAGGAGGATTGCATGACGCAGCTGTCTTCTTTCCCCTCGTGCACCCCCCCCCCCACCCCGCTCCTCTCCATCCCAGGGCCTTCAGCCCTGCACTGGCGCATCACGCTCCTCTCAGTGGCAGCAGCAGAGGAGGAGGATCGCATGACGCAGCTGTCCTCACTTCACCCCCATTGTCTCCCTCCCTTTCCCCTCTTCCTTCCCAATCCCAGGGCCCTCAGCCCTCCACTGGCGCATCACTCTGCTATCAGTGGCAGCAGCAGAGGAGGAGGATCAAATCGATGCAGCCATCTTCTCCCCATCTCTCTCTTTCCCCTCATGCACCCCCACCTCCCCAACCCCCCCACCCTTCCCCCTATCCTCCCACTCCCAGAGTTCACAGCCCTCCACTGTCGAGTCACGCTGCTCTCAGTGGCGGCAGCGGAGGAGGAGGATCGAATCGATGCAGCCATCTTCTCCCCCTCCCTCTCCAAGCAACGCCTTGCCTTTGCCGCTGCACTCATCTCAAAGCACTCGCCGGCTTTCCTCGTGAGTCTGGAAATTCCAAGGATTGGTGTGCTGTGTTGCGCCTTCTCTGTGCTTCTGGCAGTTTTCAAGGATTTTCTCAAATCGCCTGATATTTCTCTCCTTCAGCCACCTCCGCCAGAAATCAAGAGGAAGTGTGCCCTTTCAAACCTTTCACCTGCTGCACTCTCAACACCCTCCCTCCAATAATTTTCTTTCCAGATGTCTCTAAACTTTCAGCACCCATTCTCCCTCAAAGCATTCTCCCTACAGGTGAATGTTGGACGTGGCTCCGCCTCTCTCATCAACCACCTCCTGCCTCCTCAAAGAGAGAGGAAGCAGTGCCATCAAGACCCTTCCACTCACACCCACAGCACCCATTCTCAACCCTTTGCATCCCTGCCAAACCTTTTACTTCCACTCACAACACCCATTTTCCCTGCCCCACTTCCCATCCCACCCCCAGCTGGACGTTGGGTGCGGGTCTGCCTCTCTCTTCGACTACTTGCTGTCTGCTTCAGCCGCAGCAAGCAAGGGCAGTGGCAAGGCCGGTAGTGCTGGCTGTGACAATGGCAGTGGAAGCAGTGCTGAGCGATTTTGTTTACCGGCGAGCATGGTGGGGTTTGACATCAGTCAGAAGGAGCTGGAGCGGGCTGGTCGGGTGAGTGGTTGGGGCAGGGGATGGGGGGTGAGAGAAGGGGAGAGGGGGTGAAGGAAAGCTATGGGGTGGTTGGTGAAAGTTCAAGCATGGTGGGGTTTGACATCAGTCAGAAGGAGCTGGAACGGGCTGGTAGGGTGAGTGCCGTGGGGGGCGGTGAGTGGGTGGGTGCAAGTGTGGAGTTGATGAGCATCAAAGCTGTGAGGACGGTGATAGATGTTGTGAGAAGATGCAAGTAGAATGTTTGGCGGTGAGCATGGTGAGATTTGACATCAATCAGAGGGAGCTGGAACGGGTTGGAAGGGTGGGTGGATGCGGCAGGGGACGGGGGTGAGGGCAGTGGGGAGGAGGTGATAGGAAAGAAAGCAATGAAAGCGCTGGAAAGATTTCACAGAGGTTAAATCTACTGCAACTCACATCACTGGTCCTGTATGTGCCCATACCTGCTTTTGAGTCGACTCAAAATCTCACTGGCTGCTCCTGTCTGTATGTGCCCATACCTGTAGTGTCCATCATGCTTCAACCCCCTCAACCTCCCCCCCTTCTCCCTTTTTCACGCTCCTCACCAGCCCCTTTTTTCCATGGCTTTCTATTCTACCTACGCCCCTTGACTGGTATCAGAGCCTAACTCGCACCATAACAAGCCTGCAAGCAGCCTCACAGCCGGCAGCAGACGCAGCCACTGCAGCAACACAGGTTGAGCCGGCACCTGAAACAACCTGCACCGTTGCAGCACAAGCAGCTTCAGCACGGTTGGCGCTCTATGCCGGTTCCCTTGCTGACGTGGACGATCGCATGAAGGACGCTGACGTGGCAACTTGCTTGGAGGTATGCAATGGATTGAACATGTGTGTCACATGCAACTTGCTTGGCGTTCCATACATCTATCCATTTTGGATTTTCCAGTTGTTACTATCCTTACAGCAGCACCTGTGCCCATGTGCTTGTGCGCGTGTGCTTGCTCTCATGCGCGTTTCCATCTCTGTGCTCGTCTGTGCATGCTGTGTGCATCGAGTACAATTCTGCCATTTCTACCCTGCCCCATCAGGTGGTGGAGCATTTAGACGAGGAGCCACTGGCAGCCTTTGGGGCCGTGGTGCTGGGGGCACTCAGACCCCGCGTTCTGCTTGTCTCCACTCCCAACATCGAGTACAATCCTGCCATTCGTGCTGCCACCGCTGCTGCTGCTGCTGATGCGACCGCTGCTGGTGCTGATGCTCCTGCGGCTGTTGCTGGTGCTTCTGCTGGTGTTGCTGCTGTAGCTGATGCTCCTGTGACAGCTGCTGCTACTGTGACTGATGCTGCTGCTGCTGCTACTGCGAATGATTCTGCAACAGCTGCTGCTGTCGCTGCTGCTGATGATGCTGCTACTCCTGCTGCTGCTGCTGCCGGTGATGCTGTCACTGCGCTTGCTAACGGTTTCAAGCAGCAGGATCCTCCACTGCAGCAGCCACAAGAAGCAGCAGGGCAGGCAGGAGGAGGGAAGAAGAGGCGGAAAAAGAAGAAGGGACAGCAGGCAGGCCAGCAGGCGGATCAGACAGGACAGCAGGCAGGTCAGACAGGACAGCAGCCTCAGGAGCAGCAGCAGCAGGAGTTGCGAAATTCTGATCACCGTTTTGAGTGGACCAGGGAGGAGTTTGAATCCTGGGCGAATGCTCTGGCCCAGGAGTATGGTTACCATGTTACATTCGGTGGAGTGGGCGTGCTGCCAGAAGCAGAGCACCTGGGATTCGCCACACAAACAGCTGTATTTGAGAGAGCTACATGTGAGATGAAGGATTTAGGACTGGGTGAGGTTGAGAGGATGGACATAGATTCTTCCAAGTTGATAGAAGATTTGGAGGGTGAGAAGAAGCTGTATGAATTGGTCTGGGATCATCACTTAGCTTGCTAATAGATTTCATGAAATTACTGTGTAAGAACATTTGCAATTTCATGAGATTCAATTTGCAGGATCTGATGTGGGTCAGGTGCGGTATGTCGTGGTTGCATTTCGGTATGGAGTGGGCCCTCTGGGGAGAGTTGAGGGGAGGAGAGCAGCAATGGACAGAAACGAGCTTTGCTCGCCTAGGGATTGCCGTCACAGCATTGGTTGGCATTCACGACGAATCACTAGCTTCGTGCTTCATCATTGGTATAGACCAGCCGACATTCCCAATGTGGTCATAACAATCTGGGACTGGGCCAGGACACGGCAGCAGCGCAGTGCAGGTGACTGACAGCCGCACGAACTGCTCCAAGTACATAACGTTTGTTCCCGCACCGCACTGTCTTATTTTTTTCTCGTGGGGCTCCCCTGATGTGGGTTCGTAACACCATCCCCCTCGAGAACTCCGCGGCTCGCCTCTCGCGTTTCATCATCCCGTTCGAGAAAAACATTGTCACTCCAATCTCGAGCTTGCCGAAAAGTTATCTGATCCACGTCAGCACCACGGCCGTCCGTGGCTCTCCCAGCCACACTAACCCAGTCATCCCATCCGCTACCGCTAATCCAGCCAACGGTCGGAGCACTCACCCACTTACTCGCAGCTTTCCTCCTTCCAGTGCGTTTTTTATTGGTTCGTCTTCCCAGAACCGTACACCCGTCCGAGACTCAATCCCCGCCGTTTTCCGAGCCTCGGCTCGTCAATTTGACCCGCACTCTCCGCTTGATCAGACCGCGTATCGCGATCTTGACCAGAAGAAACGCGGCTCGCCGTTACGAAGCCGCGCGGATAAGCGGCGGTTTGGCGTAACAGCAAAAGCAGCAGCAGCCATGGATGGAACGCCAGGTTCAGCAGTCGCTGCAGGTGCTGTAACGGGAACTGCAGCTCCCTTGGCGAAACTATCCCGCCGGATCGTGAATACCGACGAACCCGTTATTGTTCAGGTCCGTTATTGTTTCTTCCCTTGGGCCTTTTAGTAATCTTAGTGAATTCTTAGACGATCCGAGGTCATTGTGGATTGATAGGACCTCATAACTTTTATTCGTGTCTTATCTCGATTTCGTCTCTGTCACTATCCAATTTCTTCTCCCTCTCTCTCTCCACTATCCTTCTCTCTCATCTCTTCTCTCCCCCATCCCTCTCCCCCATCTCTTCCCCCTATCTCACCCCCTCTCCTCACAATCTCCAGATGCGGGACCTAATGACTCTCAACCCTGACGTCAATGTCCCATCTCTCTGTACAATGTCCCCTGCATCTTCCCTGTCCCTCCCCTCTCGCCAGATGCGTGACCTCATGACACTCAATCCTGACGTCATGTCGTTGGGTCGGGGCGTGGTGTACTGGTTACCACCCGTCGCAGTCAGCAGTGCTTAAGCGATTCTCTGTTGCGCATCTCCCCTCTTTTATTCATCTCCCCCACGTCCCGCTCTCCCCAATCTGTCCCCCCTCCCTCGCTTCAGATGCGTGATCTCATGACGCTCAACCCTGACGTCATGTCGCTGGGCCAGGGCGTGGTGTACTGGTTACCGCCCGATGCAGTCCTGGCAGCAGCGCAGGCAGCGGTGCATGACCCAGTGAGCAGCGGGTACGGAGTGGACGATGGCACCAAGGAGCTCCGGGCAGCGCTGGTAGAGAAAGTCAAGACGGAGAATGGACTTATGGACTCGTCCATCATGGTTACTGCTGGGGCCAACCAGGTGAGGGAAAGCCAAGGCACGAAGCTGTAGGCATACATGCCAACAGCGCACAGCGCAGGCAGCAGCGCAGGCAGTAGCACAGGCAGTAGTGCTGGCAGCAGCGCAGGCAGCGGTGCATGACCCAGTGAGCAGCGGGTACGGGGTGGACGATGGCACCAAGGAGCTCTGGGCAGCGATGGTAGAGAAAGTCAACACGGAGAATGGACTCGTGGGTTCCTCTATAATGGTCACTGCTGGAGCCAATCAGGTGTGCTCGGGGGAGGTAACGCACATGCCAATCAGGTGTGCTCGGGGGAGGTAACGCACATGGCAACCACCGTATGGTGTGGACAGTGCACATGCCCTTCCACTCCAATCCCTCTTATACAACCCTACAGCCTGACCTTCATTGACCCTCTATCTCCCTGCAACTCCACCCTCCCCTATCCCTAGGCAGTCATGAACGTGGTGCTGACGCTCTGTGACCCCGACATGACTTATGGTATGGGTCGACTTGACTCAAATGCTAAGTGGGAATATACGCTCAAACCTGTCTGCGTTTAGCGTATACACGCTAGCGTGTATACGCAAAACGCTAAACGCTATCGAATACGCTATACGCTCGCCACATTTTTTTTGGGGCAGCCCGGCCAGAAAATTTCAACCTATACGGTTCGCTTCGGAATTGCACGACGAAGACATTGGCGGGGTCAGATGGCACGTCCGCGCTGTGTGCTAGCGTGGACGTGGGTTGAAAGTTCGTGTCGCAAATGGAAAGTCACGTTCGTCGAGTCGCGCCTGCACGTTCCCTCACATTTTGGTGTTCACTATCAGTACCGCATTCAAACCCTTCGCAACCAACACCTCTCCAATTTTTGTTGGCCATCTTCCCACTCCCACAATCAACTCGCCATAAAACAAGCACACCCCCAACATCCAACTCATTAGGTCTTCTCTCGCTACTAGCAGAGCACTAGGCATTCCCTAGCGCATGGTGCCTATGTCGACGACTACTACCTCTCCTCTAACGCCACCGTCAGTTAACACCGTTGGCAGTTCGCAAACTCTTCTAACCGAGGCACGGGAGTATCTCCCCGACGTTGACCATGCCGTCTTCAAGCACTTCCGCATCATCAAGAGGGTCGAGGGAAAAGCTCAGCAGTACGAGTGCAAGTTCTGCAGCAACGTCTACACTGGTGCTGCCATCCGATGCGCGCAACACTTCACGTCGTGGAAGGGGATGAAACGCCGTGAAGTGGTGCTTTGCAAGGATGCGCCGCAAGATGTGCGCTTGGCCATGCGCGCGAAATACGAGGCAAAGGCTGCTGCGGCCGAAGAGAAGAGGCGGGCAGCAGCTGAAGCGGTTGCCGCAGTCAAGGCTGATTGTGTGAAGCGGGTGCGCATCACCGATTACCTTGAGGGGGATGCGGCTGCAAGAAAGAGAGAAGCGGACGAGGCACTTGCGCTTGCTTGGGCCGCCCTCCATATCCCCGAGCGCCACATTGACCATCCTCTGATGGTCAATGCATTGAACCTCGTCAAGCGCGCCGGCGTCGACTATGTCCCTCCCAAGAGGAAATACATCGGCGGTGCTGGCCTTCTCTCATGTCGCAACGGAATCGAGCAGGGTTTGGTGGGCATTAAGGCGAGCTGGAAGAGGACGGGCGTGACAATTTCGTCCGACATGATGACGGACCGCAACGGCAGGCCGCAGGCCAACATGCTTCTCGTAAACGATTCCGGCGCCGTCTTCACCGAGTGTATTGACTGCAACATGGAGAGGAAAACCGGAGGTTACGCGGCAGGGATTCTTAGGCCTGCGGTGGAGGAAGTGGGTCCAGAAAACGTTGTTGCGTTCTGCATGGACGGGGGGTCGAACTATGCGGTGGCGGTGAAGCAGCTCTTACAGGAGTGGCCGCACATTCGAGATGTGCCGTGCGCCACTCACGTATTGGATCTTCTCATGGAAGATGTCGGGAAGATGGGATGGGCTAAGCCGGTGGTCGACAAGGGAGGGGAGATATCTAGCTTCGTCCGCAACCACCACTGGACCCGAGGGTACCTGCGGAAGCCGGAATTGGTGGAGGGGAAGGTTCTGCAGGCGCTGAAGCCGGCTGGAACCCGATTCGGGACCAACTACATAGCCATATCCCGGCTATGTGCGATGTGCGGCAGCCTTACCAACATGGTGACGAGCGAGGGTTGGAAGGAGTGGGCGGTAGGGGACTGGAAGAAATCGTGTGACGGGTTCAGTGTGCTGATCCATGATGCCGCCTAGTGGAAGACGGTCGAGTTCTTCGTCGCATCGCTGAAGCTGCCCTTTAAGGTGATGAGGCAGATGGACGGGCATGCCAAGGGGATGATGAGGAGGCTGTACGATTTGATGCTGCAGTTGACTGAGGACGTGGGGGGCTTGCTCGATGCGGACGAGGAGCAGCTGAGCGACGGGGACAAGGACAAGATCTGCCGCATCCTCAGAGACCGCTGCGACGGCAGCCTCGCATGCGCCATGCATGTCGCTAGCCGCATCCTCAACCCCGCGAATCAGGAGGAAGATATTTTCGGCACTGATCCCGAGTGCACGAAAGTCTTCAAGGCGTTCATTAGCCAGCAGGCCGAGTTCCTTGTGAGCCGCGAGGATGGGGGGGATGACGCGTGCGACATCTTGATTGAGCTGGGGGACGGGCTGAGGGCGTTCCTTGACATGAAGGGTTCTTTTGGGATGCCGGAAGCCGTGGCACAGAGGAAGCTGGTGAAAGAGGGAAAGTATAGCATGGTGAAGTGGTGGCAGTGGAATGGGACTGATGCCCCTCGAGTGGCGGGGCTCGCGGTACGGGTGCTGTCTCAGGCCGTGTCAGCCTCACCTTGTGAGCGTGGATGGCCCTCGTGGGATGCCGTCCACACCGCACGTCGCAACAGGCTCGGATCCGCCAAGTGCAGGGACTTGGTCTATGTTGCGCACAACTGGAATGTTGTGCGCAACTGGCACACGCGCGTTGATGTCTTGCCACATGTGGTGCCCGGGATTGGAGCGGAGCCTCCAATCCCGGCGGGATACAATGGGCTGGAAGACGAGACGAAGGGAGAGGATGAGGAGGAAGGCGAAGACGACATCCTCGAAGACGAGTACGCTAACTAGAGGGGGCAAATGTGGCTTGCTGTGGGCGGCTAGTCCTAAGGAGTAGTAGTATGTAGCTTGTCTTAGAGAGAAGTGATGGTCGTGATGGAGTAGTGATGATAGTAGTGATGGTAAGTGATGATGGTAAGTGATGATAGTAGTGATGATAGTGATGATAGTAGTGATGACAGTAGTTATGTGTAGGCCGTGGTATATGTGTAATGTGGAAAAAAAAAAAAACTGAAACTTCAGGCCCCATACCCCCCCCCCCCCCCCCCCCCCCCGGCGCCTTTTTTTGACCCTGCCCGGGAAGTTTTTTTTCTGCCCGAAAAAGCGTATTTCCAAACCCGTCCCTACAGCATATAGTGTATATAAGAGTGCGTATATACGAAAAGCGTATATACGCAATAAGCGTATATTCCCACTAAGCTCAAATATTGCTCTGTGACCCCTTTTTGAGGCGCCTCAAACATCCTCCCAGGCAGTTGTGAACATGGTGCGGACGCTCTGTGCCCCCCGATGTGACTTTTGAGTCGACTGGATTCAAATGTCGCTCTGTGACCCCCGACGTGACTTATGAGTCGACTCGATTCAAATGGCGCTCTGTGACCCCCGACGTGACTTATGAGTCGACTCGATTCAAATGTCGCTCTGTGACCCCCGACGTGACTTTTGAATCGACTCGATTCAAATGTCGCTCTGTGACCCCCGACGTGACATTTGAGTCGACTCGATTCAAATGTCGCTCTGTGACCCCCGACGTGACTTATGAGTCGACTGGATTCAAATGTCGCTCTGTGACCCCCGACGTGACATTTGAGTCGACTCGATTCAAATGTCGCTCTGTGACCCCCGACGTGACTTATGAGTCGACTCGATTCAAATGTAGCTGTGACCCCGACGTGACTTTAGAGTCGACTGGATTCAAATGTCGCTCTGTGACCCCCGATGACGCAGTGGTTCTCTTCAAGCCCGTCTACTTCAATACAGGGCCCCAGTTCTGCTTTTGAGTCGACTCAAAAGCCGTCTACTTCAATACAGGGCCCCAGTTCTGCTTTTGAGTCGACTCAAAAGCCGTCTACTTCAATACAGGGCCCCAGTTCTGTATCATTTCACAACCCTAGTTCCAATCCAACCCTACGGCCCTACCCTCCCCAACCTACAGGCGTTTGTGAACGTGGTGCTGACGCTCTGTGACCCGGATGACGCTGTGGTGCTCTTAAAGCCGTTCTACTCCAACCTCCCCCATACGCCTTGAATCCTTCTAACCCTGCATCCTCCTTCAACCCTACCTTTCTGTATTTCTAAATACCAGGCGTTCGTGAATGTGGTGCTGACGTTCTGTGACCCGGATGACGCTGTGGTGCTCTTAAAGCCGTTCTACTCCAACCTCCCCCATACACCTTGACTCCTTCTAACCCTGCATCCTCCTTCAACCCTACCTTTCTGTATTTCTAAATACCAGGCGTTCGTGAATGTGGTGCTGACGCTCTGTGACCCGGATGACGCTGTGGTGCTCTTCAAGCCGTTCTACTTCAACCACCAGATGGCCTTTCAGATGACTGGTGTCACTGACATCGTGTATGGGCCCTGTGACTCTGACACCCTGCATCCCAGCGCTGGTGAGTGCATGATTTTCGAGACTTTAACAGTCCCTCCTACCCCTGTTCAAGCCGTTCTACATCAACCATCAGATGGCGTTTCACATGACCGGCGTGACTGACATCGTGTATGGGCCCTGTGACTCCGACACCCTTCATCCCAGCGCTGGTGAGTATAGATGGTTCCTGAGTCACAGTCCGTTCTGCCACACTCCGTTCTGCCACACTCTCACATCTTACCTACCCACCACCCACCACTTCCTCACTAGACTTTACCAACCACCACTATGGGATCACTTTTGAGAAATATCAAGATCACAAGCTCTTACCCACCCACCGATTCCTATTTTCTCCTTCTGTACTCCCATGCTGCCACCTGGCACAATCAGATTGGCTAGAGGAGGCGCTTTCAGGGAAGGAGGGCAGGAAGGTTCCCAAGGTGGTGGTGATAACCAATCCCAACAACCCCACCGGGACCTATGTTCCCGAGGACTTACTGCGGGTATGGATCGTTTTTACCCTGCATAATTGTAGGTATCTACTTGAAACGCCCCCCGGTGCAAGCAAGTTGGGGGTGATCAAGGTTCCCAACTTTCCTTTCCCTACCCCCGTCCACCTCGCCCTCTTCCCTCTCTCCCCCCTCCCTCCGCCTGTTCCTCCTCCTCCCACCTAACTATCTTTTCCCATTGTTGCTTCTCCCCCACCCACCCCTCCTTCCCTCGGCCCTTTCTTCCCTCCTTCCCCCACGTCCCACATTCCCTCCCTCCCTCGCTCCTTCTTTTTCAGCTTTTCTGCCCTTCTTCCACCTCCCTGCATTGTTGCGTGCAATACCCTTCCTTATCCCTATCCCCGCTACAGAGAATCTCCGCTATATGTGAGAAGGCTGGCTCCTGGCTGGTGCTTGACAACACCTACGAGTACGTATTCCCCCTCCTTAAAATGATAACACTCGCATTATATATACCCCCTTTTCAAGTCGACTCAAGAATACATATCCCCTTGAGTCGCGATGTATCATGTTATCATATTCCCCTTGAGACTTTTTTACGCCGCTCCAAACAGCATGTGCGATGTGCCATACATGCCATGTGCTCTAAGGCACCTTGTACAATAAAATACCCCTGCTGCCATGCCCCATGCTCGAAACACACGCACCCAGGTACGTCATGTGCAGTGGTGCTAACCGCCATGTGTGCAGCGGGCAATTCTTTAGGTGCCTGAAACCCATGGTCCCCTCCCTTGCCCGTGCTGTGCTCTCCAAACACTCCCTCCCGCCCCGGGTACTTCATGTACGGTGGTAACCGCCACATGTGGCTGGACCCTGGAGGGCGATTTGTTAAAGGCCTGAAACAATAACCATGTTTGTTTCCCTTTTCCTGTGTGCCCTCCAAACACCCTCAGGTACTTTATGTACGGTGGTAACCGCCATGTGTGCCTGGAGGCCCCTCACGTGCTCAACATCTTCTCCTTCTCCAAGGCCTATGGCATGATGGGATGGCGCGTTGGCTATGTGAGTGGATTGGTTCTCACCAGCGTGTGAATGTTATTCTCTTCCTTGCACCTCTTCATACACCTTCACGCCGCTCCACCCAGATCACCTACCCCAGCTCTTCCTCTCATCTCAGCCCCTCTCTCATTAAAGCCCAAGACACCATCCCCATCTGTGCCAGTCTCACGGTCTCACCCAATTTCCCGCTACCTTCTATCCCCCTCTCGTGTCCCCCTTTTCCCCCCTCCCTCTACCCCTCCACCCAGATCGCGTACCCCAACTCCTCCCCTAGGCTTGGCCCGTCTCTCATTAAAGCCCAGGACACCATCCCCATTTGTGCCAATCTCATTGGTCAGCAAGCAGCCCTCGCCGCTCTCCAATCCCCTTCCGCCGGGAAACCCTTCGTCGACCGCCTTATCCAGACCCTATCCCCGAACCTGGAGGAGGCTCGGGACGCCCTAGCCATGCTCACAGGTCCGGGGGTTGGAGGGCGGGTGTGGGGCGGGGAGGGGGCGATTTACCTTTGGGCGAAGCTTCCGGAAGGATGTGAAGATGATGGGGCTGTGGTGAGGTGGTTGGTGAGTGAACATGGTGTGGTGGTTATTCCGGGGAGTGCGAGCGGTGCACCCGGGCATATTAGGGTGTCTTTTGCAAACTTACCCGCGGAAAAGTACAAGGTTGCTGCAGGGAGGTTGAAGAAGGGGCTTCAAGAGCTGGTTGAGAAGGGGATGAGGTTTCCTCTAAGTCAGTAAATGGAACGCCAGCTAAATGTACAATCTCTATACTGCCTATGCTTCTAGACCATTTCAGACTGTACTTGAATGTCTAGTTTGCATGTTATGATGTACATTAAATCCAGCTGCTAAAATGGTGAACCGTAAACTTGAAAATGAGTTTTTTCGTAAGCCCGTTGAAGCGATCAAGAACATTGTTCCAAACAAACAACCCGTCTAAACTGTTGGGCTGAGAAAATAGCCCTTAGGATCTTTGCAGAGGTGAACTCTGGGTAGAACTGATTTAGTAGCGGAAGCGTTTTAATGAAGAGTTTGTGAACCACCTTGCGCTAGTATGTGGGGCAAAGTTGATTGATTAAAGCAGAGAGATACAAGATTATATAAGAGTACAAGGAATACGAAGAGATACGGTTCCAACTGTTTTGCTGCTGCTGTTGCGGTTCGATACAGTGACGACTCGGGCAACTGCTCTGTAACGAGTCAGTCGTGTGTCCTTGCTGTCGCGTTGTAGATGGTTTCAGAGCAAAGTGCTGCTTCGGATATTCTTCCGTGAGCTCGGAGAATGGCTTTTGTGGCGCGCCATTGAGGACCGAGGCCGCCAATAATGACTATCACGAAGGCGTCTTTAGATATCGACCCTCCGCATCGAAGGAGTTTGTCGCGCAATTCGCGACAGCGACTGATATGCGTCATCCCCTTTTCCCCTGGTTTCATTTCGACCGTTGTCAGTTGCGCCATTATTCGACTCTGACTTACGCTGTCTGTTGCTTGGTACAGGCTTTTCAAGTAACTGTATGCGAGCTCGGCGGAGTTGCCGTATCCCCGGTAAGACCGTATATTCTGTTGCTGAGTCGGGGTGATATTCCTCAGTAGGATTGTATCATTGACTGATAGGTGTACTGATTTGGTAGCGGAAGCGTTTTAATGAAGAGTTTGTGAACCACATTGCGCTAGTATGTGACGGCAAAGTTGATTGATTAATGCAGAGAGATAAAAGATTATATAAGATTACAAGGAATACGAAGAGATACGGTTCCAACTGTTTTACTGTTGCTGTTGCAGTTCGATACAGTGACGACTCGGGCAACTGCTCTGTAACGAGTCAGTTGTGTGTCCTTGCTGTCGCGTTGTACTTGTCAGGTCAAAGGTCGCTGACCTTTGACTTTTGCGTAACCTCCAGCAACTGCTCAACTTCCGAGGGTTGACTCGCCAGTGCTTCGATATGCTTCGTTTTGATTTTGACTTGGTGTTTCGACACGACAGAGGCGCTTAGAGTTAATTGTTTCCAACACTCCCCTTCGCTTTTGGAGTGTCTCTCCTGGTGACATGGCTCTGTCCAGTCAGCAGCATGCAGTACTCGAACTTCTGCTTTCCGAGCTTCTTGGTCAAGTAGTCAGCTGCCATCTCGGACGTGGGGCAGTTTGACAGTGTCAAATTATATATACTTGTTTAGGTTATCTAGGCTGCATGGGGGTTAGCACTAGGGGGTACAGAAACTTTCTCGATACCCTAGTCTTGTACCCACCCCTTCACCTAATTTCGTCATCCTTGCCTTAGTTCTTAATATGGTAACTAGAGCAGGAGGTCTCTATGACCTACGAATCGGGCCCACCTAACTGCCTGCCTTGCCTACTGCTCGCGCGCGCCTCGGCTGCAGCGCGCGTCACTTTTTTTTTTTTCCGCGCGCGCCCCGGTTTCTAGCGCGTGCGTCACTTTTTTATAGTGCGCGCCACTGCTGCAGAGCCGCGCGCCGGCCCGTGTCGCCCGCGCAGCTCGCGTAGAGCTCGCGTGCCCCTTACGCCGCCCGCGCGCAGCCTGCTTAGGCCCGTCGCCGCACGCAGCCCGCAGCTGCGCGCGCTGCCCGTCGCCATGTACAGCCAAGAGCCGCGCGCGGCACGTAGCCACGCGCAGCAGAGAGCCGCACGCAGCCCTTAGCCGCACGCAGCCAGCAGCCACGCGCGCCCTACTCGTGTACCTGCCTGTGAGGCTCACTGCTGCCGAGCCCGTTGCCTTAGAACTGTGCGGCCTGCTACTGTCTAGAGCCCTACCTTAGGAGCTCAAGTGCAGCAAGCTACTGCCCTGCACGTTGCCTGTACTGCCTACTGCCTACTGCCTCTGTCTTAGCCTGCTGTCTACTGCCTGCTGCCTCCGGTCTACTGCCTACTGCCTCTGTCTTAGCCTGCTGTATACTGCCTGCTACCTCGTGTCTACTGCATGCCTGCTTTCTGCTGCCTTTGCATGCTGCCGTTATTACGACGCCTAATGTTCTCGCGTTCGAACCTGACGGTCGCCCCATAGAGTTCGCTGTGTGGCTAGACGACCTGCAACTGTTCCTTCTGACCGATGCCAAAGAGGGCGTTTCACTGTTCGATTACGTGTCTGGCACTGCCGTTGCTCCTGCTGCCGATGCTCCTGCTCTCGAACGCTCGCAGTGGCAGACTCGTGATGCTGCTGCACGCCTAGCTATAGGAACCATCTGCCGATCACTGAGCGTGTGCATTTCAGCCAGCACAAAACTACTAAGAAGCTGTACGATGCTGTAGTTGCGCGCTACTCCTCCCCGGCCACTGCAGCCATAGGTCGACTCATGCTACCCTACCTGTTCCCCGACCTTTCCTCGTTCACCATTGCTGAGGACCTCATTTCCCACCTGCGCGCTACTGACACTCGCTTTCGTGCCGCCCTTTCAGCCGAGTTCTGCGCCGCTAACCCCCCCCCCCCCCCCCCGATGTACTTCATTCTCTATTTCCTCGTCACCCGCCTCCCTGACACTCTTAGCTCAGTCAGGAACCACTTCCTTGTGCTAGACCCCCCCACTCTCACTGTCAACAACTTCGAGAAGCACCTCCTCGCAGCAGAGAAGAACATCCTCGCTGTAGGTGCTGCTCGTGGCACTCCTCGCTCTCCCCTCTTTGAGGGGTGCTCCCCCTCCCCTCTCACCCCCTCCTACACCTCCGCAGCTGCTGCTCACGACTACCTTGGTGCTGAGGAGGTCGGGGCTGCTTCCGCTCCTAGTGGGAAGCATCGCAGCGGCAGGGGCGGCAAGGGTGGCAGGGCAGGTGGGGGCGGCGGTGGAGGTGGCGGTGGTGCAGGCGGCGGGGGCGGTGGAGGTGGTGGGGGTGGTCGTGGGGGTGGAGGTGGTGGAGGTGGTGGTGGGGGCGGCGGAGGCACTGGGGGCGGTGGAGGGGGCAGCAGCGGCGGTGGGGGAGGTGGGAGCGGTGGTGGCAATGGTGGTCAGGGTGAGCAGCAGCCGCAGTAGCAGCAGCAGCAGCAGCAGCAGCGTCAGCGCCAGACTCCCACTTCCCAGCAGCTTCTTGACTGGTATGCCGGGCGTGGGGCTTCTGGGGGTCCTAGTCGCTGCCCCTATATCATCCGCACAGGTCCCCGCGCTAATCGCCAGTGCACAGGGTTTCACACTGAGCAGCGCTGCTTCGCTCGACTTAGTGACGCCTGGCACGCCAAGTTTCCTGATGCTACTGAGTTCCCCAACTGGGCAGACTTGCTTAGGCGTGATGTACCAATCTTTGATCTTGACTATGAGGCTATTCTTGCTGCTATGTATGCATTGACTGTTAGTGCTGAGGGTGAGTGCTAGTTGTGTGTGCCGCCGGATCCTGGTATAGCCCCTGGTATAGCCCCTGCAGCACTAGGTGCTTGTGAGTCTGCTCCCCTTGGTACTGCGCCTGCACGGGCTTTGCACATCTTTACACTTGACTCTGGTGCTTCTCGCTGTTTCTTTCGCGACAGTACCACAGTCACTCCCCTTCCTGCACCTGTTCCTGTCTCACTGGCTGACCCCTCTGGGGGCCCACTGCTTGCATGGTCTTCCACTGTGATTCCGTGTCCGGCGGTCCCGTCTAGTGCGCTGACTGGTCTCCACCTCCCCTCGTTCTCTACGAACTTGGTGAGCAACGCTGTCCTCAAGGATGCGGGTGTTGACACCTTCACCCCTGGCCGACAGCGTGTGGCGATCTGCACGTGCTCCCAGACCGGCCGCCACCTGGCCACGTTCACCCGTGCGCCAGGGTCCAGTCTGTACACCCTCACCACTGAGTCACGCTCCACCCCTTTGTCTCCCCAGCTGCACGCGTCTGTTCAGGTAGCTACCCAGTGTGAGTGTCGCCGGCTGTCTCACGACACCCTCCTGTGGCACCACCGCCTGGGCCACCCCTCCCTGCCTCACCTTCGTAGCATGCACTCTCGCTTTCTGGTTTCTAGTCTTCCCAGGTCTGTGCTTGCCCTCCCTCCCTCGCCTGCGCCGCCTTGCATTCCTTGCGTCGAGGGGCGGCAGCGCGCCGCTCCTCACTCCTCCTCGTTCCCTCCCACAGAGGCTCCCCTGCAGACTCTCCACCTGGACGTGTGGGGCCCAGCCCGCGTCCATGGACAGGGCCACGAGCGGTACTTCCTGCTGGTTGTCGACGACTACACGCGCTACACCACGGTCTTCCCCTTGCAGCGCAAGGGGGATGTCTCTGATGTTTTGATCCCCTGGATCCGCGCTACTCGTCTCCAGCTCCGCGAGCTGTTCCAGTCAGACTTTTGTGTCCTGCGTCTGCACTCTGACAGAGGTGGTGAGTTCTCCTCAGACCTCTTGGCGGCCTTCTGTGTGGAGCACGGCATCCGCCAGACTTTCACGCTTCCGGCCTCTCCGCAACAGAATGGGGTTGCTGAGCGCCGCATTGGCTTAGTCATAGAGGTCGCTCATACCTCCATGATCCATGCGGCTGCCCCCCATTTTCTGTGGCCGTTTGCAGTCCGGTACGCCGTGCATCAGCTCAACCTTTGGCCCCGTGTCTCCTTGCCGGAGACCTCGCCCACACTGCTGTGGACGGGGAAGGTTGGCGACGCGTCGCGTTTCCGGGTCTATGGTGCTCGTGCCTTTGTTCGCGATACCACCGCGGACAAGCTCTCCCCTCGCGCCATTCCTTGCGTCTTCCTTGGCTTTGTCCCTGATGCGTCTGGCTAGCAGTTTTACGACCCCGCCTCGCGCCGTGTCTTTGCGTCCCAGGACGTCACCT